GTCCCTGTATTTTTAGTTCCAAGCTCCAAGTTTTACGTCTCCGGGGAGTTTGGAGAATTGGTGGTTTCTAACAGCAGCAGAGGTTCGCCAGGGAAAACCCTTCTCCCAGGACAGCTTTGGGCTTCTTGAGGGGAGCAGCAGTCGGAGAAAACAGGAACCAACGAGGCAGATGAAAAGGAAGCTCACTGGGGCTGTGAATTTGGGGATTCAGGGGCGGCTCCTCGTGCAGCAACTCCTTGAGCCTGGAGACCCGTGCGGGCACAGCGCCGGTGCCCGGCCAGGGCTGTGGGAGCAGCGGGGCTGTTGCGTCACCGACGTGCCAGGATGACTCCGTTCCTGTGCCTAAAAATAATGCCATGTCTGGGTTTCCCCAGCGTAAACAAAAGGAGCAGTTGATGTGCACATACGCTGTGTCAAAAGGGAAAAATAGAGCAGCCTTTTCGTTAATCACGCAGAGCTATTTTTAGCGTCTGGTTCCAGCCTAAGCAAGGCTCGCAGGCTCCTGGAGGGTGAAACGAGGTCGTGCTCCTGCGAGCAGAGTGCTCCGAGTGAGTCAGCCCAGGAACTCCAGGGAGTTTGGAAACGCGGCGCTGGCTGGATCCGGGCCCTCGCTGTGGGAAGGGAGGGGCGGTCCGAGGGCGCGTGAGCCCATCGCTTTTGGACCAGGAGGAGCAGGTCCCAGCTCTGTCCTGCAAAGCCTGGCTGCTGCTGGGGGCAGTTGGGTTTAGTCTGTGCTTTTCCTGTAAAAATACAGGGATGGGAAGGAACTCGAGTGTTCATCTCGTGCTTGAGAAGAGTCAGGTCTCTAGCAAGTGGAAGGAGGATTGGGCTCTGCATTGGGGAGGAGGGCGGAAATCCTGCAGCGTGTGTGAGTAACTGGGGCTCTTTCAGGCAGAGGAAGATGATTACAGCGAGGAAGAAAGCGCCAAAATGGAAATGAAGCAGGATAGTAACGGCTCCTGCGAGTCAGCAGCAAAAGCAGAGAAAGGGGATGAGAAACCCGACTCCAAAGGTGCTGTCACTGGTGAGAGGCAGAGCGGGGACGGGCAGGTAGGCGTTAAACGTGTGCTCTGCGGGCTGCGGCGGGCTTCTCGCCGAGGGACTGCTGCAGTGGTGAGAGCTGTCTGATTTTGACAGGAGAGCACCGAACCTGTTGAGAATAAAGTCGGGAAAAAAGTTCCCAAGCACCTGGACGACGACGAGGATCGCAAGAACCCGGCTTACATCCCACGCAAAGGGCTCTTCTTTGAGCACGACCTCCGAGGGCAGACGCAGGAGGAGGAGGTCAGGTATGTGAGGCGAGCGCCCCAGCTGGCGTTCAGCACCTCTTCGCTGGGAAGGTTTGTGCTTCGGGTACTGGCTTGCAGCGTCCTGCCAGGATGGTTTAGCTCTTTGTTTTGAAGGAGAGAATGAAGGCAGTGCAAAAAAAAACCCCAAAACACAAGGAAAAGCCTCTTGCCA